TTGGGATTGTTGGCCTACAACTCTTTTACGATATAAAAATGCATTTGACTTCTAAAAAAATGAAAAAAAAAACGCATTTTCTTATTTTTTCCAATATTTTTAAAGTATCTCGGGACTCATAATTTTTTTAAGAAAAAATGATATCGTAATTAAGCTAGTAATCAAAGTAAAAGATTTTCTAGTGTTGATCCTCACAAAAATGAGCATGAGTGTGGATACATTTGAATTTGATTATGAAAATTCGATCTTTCCCTTTTTTTTTTTTTCTGGTGGTGGATTTCTTGTATTTCTCGACCCGTGATTGGTCGTATGCGTGCGTCAAAATGGACACGCTTTCTTGAGCTTTGGCATTGTTTCATGTTTTCTTTTAATTTCATTTAAATTAAAATTAATTAATTAATCTAATGTTTTATTCTCTTTGCATTGCATTATTTGTCTATAAATATGCATATGCACGTGGTACAGTTTTCAGAATTTTGTTTTACCTGGTTTCTATATTTTAGTCTTTTTTCAATCTTGTGATATAGATTTTGTTTTATTTTTATTTTTTACATTCTGAAACCGAGCGTGCATAAAATTTAACGGCAAAATTCCAATTTAATGCTGCATTTAGGTTTTGGCAGCAATAAAACTGATCTATATTAAGCTAACAGTTATTAATTGCTTTCAATATATATATATATATATATACACACACTCTCTATTTATATATATATATATATATTATATTATTTGTGTTTGAATAAATATCACTTCCAAATACATTTATTGTTCATTTGGCCAAACTTGCATATGCTAGGGGGTGAATATTTGGTTTGGTATTATTATGAATTTTCGACGTTATTCCTTGTTTTTTCTCTCTATTATTCTTGGATTTTAAAATATTCTTAATTTTGAATCGAACGATACAACATTATTTCGTCCCTTCTTCTTCGTTTTCCTTCAAAATCTCTCAATTCAATAATATAGATGAAATTATATCCAAGGAGTTAAGAATGAAAAAAGATAAAACAATATTAAAATATAGATGTACAACTTTGGTTGGACTATAAGCAAGCCCATTCGCATGAGATTTAACTTTATGTGAACCATAAGTATGTTATATATATATATATATATACACACACACACACACACAATTTGCATACTAAGTTCAAGCATTTGAATGAAGTAGGCGGCGAAATTTGCGATACCTTTGCATCACGCAAGCAAAGTACCGTAACATTATATATATATACATATAATAGTTGATTTTGATATAAAAAATATAGTCAGCAATTGAAAGATTATGCCAAAACTAATTCCTTTGATTTCACACTTACGAATATATACAAATACAATAGAATAAGTAAAGGAGAGATTTGCGTAACAGATTGACCAATACATATGGTAGTTTCCTAATGCATGAGATTACAATCTCCTAACACGCCCCCTCAAGTCGGTACACCGTCGGTGATGCCGATCTTGATGCATAAGTCGTTGAATGTGCTTCGAGGTAACGGTTTCGTAAGAGCATCCGCGAGTTGGTCTTTGGAGCTGACATGAAGAACTCGTAAATGACCAGCTTCTACTTGCCCACGAACAAATAGGTAGTCCAAGGCTAAGTGTTTCATCCGAGAGTGAAATACCGGATTAGCACTTAAGTACGTCGCTCCAATATTGTCGCAGTAGATAGTCGGGGTGGTTGTAAGATTTATTCCAAGTTCAGAGAGTAAAGAAACAAGCCACCGTAGTTCAGCTGAAGTGTTGGCCACCGACCTATATTCGGCTTCGGTTGACGAGCGTGAAAGACCCGGTAGCTTTTTAGAAGACCAAGAGATAGGATGCTTGCCGTAGTAGACGATGAAAGCCCCTGTGGACTTTAGATCAACAGGATCACCGGCCCAGTCAGCGTCACTAAACGCATGAAGTGATGGTTTGCTGTCCGCCGGGAAAAAAATGCCTCTTTGCTGGGTTCCCGAGAGGTATCGTAATATTCGTTTTGCTGCAGTCCAATGAACATCAGTGGGGGAGTGCATAAATTGAGATAATTTGTTTACCGCGTAACTGATGTCGGGTCGGGTGAGTGATAGATATTGTAGACTGCCCACGATGGTTCGAAATTCCAAGCCATCCGATAAGGGTGTGCCATCGGTGATAGAGATCCGAGAAGTTGCAGCCATCGGAGTCGACATAGGTTTGGCTTCGTGCATTTCAGTTCGGTGAAGCAAATCTGAAATGTATTTTCGTTGGCTAAGAAATAAGCCTCGTTGTGTACGAGTCGCTTCCACGCCAAGAAAACATGACAAGCTTCCAAGATCCTTTAAGGCAAACCGATTGGCAAGAGTTGAGATGAATGAATTAATCTCACATGTGCTGCTTCCCGTAACTATCAAGTCATCAACATAAACAAGTAAGAAGAGACATGTTGTTGCAGTCCGAAGGATGAAGAGAGAAGCATCGGACTTTGAATTCTCAAATCCTTGTTGCAAAAGAAACCCCCGAAGCTCCGAATACCATGCTCTTGGTGCTTGTTTAAGGCCATATATTGCTTTGTGTAGTTTGCAAACAAATGAGGAGCGATCCTTGTCGATAAAACCCGGCGGTTGACTCATATACACTTCTTCCGAGAGTCGACCTTGTAAAAAAGCATTGTTGACGTCGAGTTATCGAATAGACCATCCATTCGTAACGGCAATACTTAAGATGAGACGTATGGTCGGTGGCTTGACCACCGGGCTAAAGGTTTCATTGAAATCGATCCCGGGGCGTTGATGAAATCCTTTAGCTACAAGTCTCGCCTTGTATCGATTGACCGAACCATCGGGATTTGTTTTCGTTCGGAATACCCATTTGCAACCCACAACATTCATGTCGGATGTCTGTGGGACTAGTTCCCATGTGTTGTTTCGAATCAAGGCGTTGAACTCATCACTCATCGCTAATCTCCATCGAGGATCCCGTAGAGCTTGAGAAACCGTGCTTGGTTCCCTGTCAATATTCAAAACAGAAGCCAGCAGCGTGAGTTTGTTTACCGGTTTGGAAATATTATTCTTCCGTCTTGTGACCATTTGATGTGTATTCCTCTATGAAGGTAGCTCTGCATCAATGGGAGCGTGTGTTGGAATGTCCGCAGAAGAATCAGTTTCCGATGATCGCAATGATGTTGACTCCGAGCTGGTGGAATTCTCAAGCACGTTTTCTGATGAAGGAGACAAGCGGAGGGGCGATGGTGGTGTCATTTGAGGTGTCGGCGGTTGATATGTGTGAGTATGAGTGGCTGAAGGAGTCGACGTTTGACTTTGGTATGTGTCATTGTCCGAAAGATTGATAGTGGAGGAGAATTGTTCCAGATTATGATGTGGAAAAATGGACTCATGAAAGACCACGTGTCTAGACACATAAAATCGAGAATGAGTAAAGTCATAACAAAGAAACGCGCTTTGGGACAATGAGTAACCAAGGAATATGCAAGGGTGTGATTTTGGAGAAAGTTTGTGGGAATTATAAGGTCTGATCCAAGGGTAGCACAAGCAACCGAACGTGTGCAATTTTGCATAATTCGGTGGAGACTTGAACAAGGACGAAAAAGGAGACTCATGTGATAGAACAGGGGTGGGCAAACGATTAATTAAGTATGTTGCTGTGGTGAATGCAAAGGACCAAAAAGAAAGTGGTAGTGAAGCTTGATGGAGAAGTGATAAACCGGTTTCCACGACGTGTCGATGCTTTCGTTCAGAAATGCCATTATGTTCGGGGGTATGAGGTGGGTTGTAAAATGTGAGATACCGTGTGTTGCAAGAAAAGTTTTTAAAGCTATGAACTCGCCCCCATTGTCGGTATATAAGGTTGAAATTTTTGTTGAAAACTTGTTTTCGACAAGCGATTTGAACCGAACAAAAGTATCATGGACGTGTGATTTTTGTTTGAGTGGATAGAGCCACGAATAACGAGTAAAGTGATCCACAAAAATTACATAATATTTGAAACCATCAATGGAAATAATGGGCGACGTCCATACATCGGAAAACAAGATTTCAAGTGGACGGGTTGAAGTGATAGTAGACGCATAAAACGGTAATTTGTGGCTTTTATTTCTTGAACATGAATCACAAAATAAAGTGGTAGAATCCCGACATAATGGCAAACCAAAAGAAGACATAACACGTTGAAGAACCGAAAAGGAAGGATGACCTAGACGCGAATGCCACTCGGACAAAGTGGACTTATGACTCGATAAAACAATGGGTTTTGAAAAGGAAACCGGCCACTCGTAGACACCACCATTAGTTTTTCCTTTGATTATCTCCGCCCCCGTGCTTAGATCCTTCACCTGAAATGAGTGCGGAAAGAATTCCACCGAGACATCATTAGTTTTACATAATTGTGACACGGAAACAAGATTCTTTGCCATGGCTGGAACACATAATACATTATCAAGAGATAATGAACGAGATGGATAGGTAAGGGATACGGAACCAGTATGAGATATGTTGAGTGCTGAGCCATCTCCAATCAGCACATCATCTCCTCCGCGATAGGGCTGATGTAACGAGAGATTTTGGAGATCAGACGTTATGTGGTGGGAAGCCCCACTGTCAAGTAACCACGGAGAGGAATCATACATAGGGACAGTCGTATGATGTGCTTGTGGCTGCCATGGTCTCGGTGACTGCTGCCACTGAGGATGTGAAGGTGGTTGTTGGCCGAAAGTTGTAGAGGCAGAGACAAGACGGAAGAGTGAGCAACGTTGAGCACTATGGCCGAACACACCACAAGCTTGGCATTTTCCTTGATATCCTTTGGAAGAGGATTGGCCAGATCGATTCCAGGGTTGACTACGAGTGGATCCCGAGCCCCTGAAGTGTTGCCGACCCCTGGAGTGTGCGACATTCGCTGTAAGAGGAAATTGGGCGACCGTAGGTTGTGTTGTTGCAGTTGCGAGCTTTACCTCGTGTTGAATGAGTTTTTCATGGAACTCTTCAATAGACGCAGCCACATCTTTGGCTTGGATAATATCAATTACTGGCTTGTAGTCCTCGGGTAATCCACTGATGATTGCATCGAGAATGTCCTCATGGTCAAGCGGTTTGCCGAGAATGGCTAATTCATCAGCCTTCGTTGTGACGAAACGAATGTATTCGTCAACCGATTGCGTGCCTTTCACACATTTCTTGATTTGTTCACGCAGCTGGAGAAGATGTCCGCGTGATGCCTTTCCGTAAATGTTCGCAATGGTTCTCCAAGCTTCACGGACAGAGGTTGCACGCGCGACAATTGGTTGAAGATTCAGAGATATAGTGCCAAGAATGGCGCTGAATAGAAGCCGATCTTGCTGTTTAAAAACAGCAAATGCCGGGTTGTCGACCAGGGTTCCAGCATTGTCAACCTTTGCTGGCGGGACAATACCATCATCAGTGATAAAGCAGTCCAATTTGTGACCTTCTAGGAGTGAACGGATCTGAAGACTCCAGGTGATGTAATTTGTTGATATGAGTTTTGTAACGTTGCTCATGTTGACAGAAAGCAGAGATTTTGTTGGCTCCCTTGCATCGAAGGTTGCAGTGTTGACATCATTGGGATTGTTGGCGTCGGTGGACATTGTGTTTGAGTGGAGGAGGGTTGAACTTTGCGATGCAAAGTTCGTCAGAAAGAAAGTCGGCTAGGGTTTTTTTTTTTTGTCGTTAGACTACAGGCTCTCTGATACCATAATAGAGAAAGAGATGAAGAATCATTGGATTTCTCATTATTCAACATGTAACATTACAATATTTATAGCAGAAACAAAATCATAAAATATCTTATTTAATAAATATAAATATCTAAAATATAGAAATAAAATCAAATCTAAATATTACGTAATCTTTTTAAATCTTCTTCATATCTCTTTATAGCAATTTGGGTAAATTAAGTGGGGGATTTAAGGATAGTTGAATCGATGTGCCTTCTAATGAATCTTAGAAAACATCTGCCAAATTTAACGTTTCGATTTTTCTGATGAAATATGATATTCATTTTGGGATCTAATAAGATATAATTGTATGCAAATCAAATTCAATCTAAAAACATAATAGATGTTTACGTAAATATGTTGTATTATTATTGGGCCGAAACAAATATATCGATTCTTGTCACATTTGTTTTACGATCACGTTATCATTGGGCCGAATCTCTCAATTGAACTCCGCAAACGATCATAATACCCCTCCATAATAGGTACAGTTTTTTTTTTTTTTTTTGGGGGCCAATTTCGTCTTTTACTTTGTGAAATCCTAATTAAGAAATCTCTCTCCCCTGTAATTTTTTTAAAGAACTGTGTTTTTATAATTCAAAGACGAAGCTAATATATATATATATATATATATATATATATATAGTAACTAATGCCTCCTGTTTGCTAAAAATAATGGGCTTAAGCATTGGAAAAGTGGTAATTATTCATTGGGAGACATTTGTGGGGAGGGAAAAAGGCGAATGAATGAGAATGGGCCACACAAATGTCCATGCCATTATATTCCATTTTGTATTACAAATCCCATCATGGGAACATGACTTTGAAGCCAACCCTCCATTTATTTATTTATTTATTTATGTTTCATAGAAAAATACTTCTGTATACCCCATAATTATATGATCCATGTTTGGGTTTGTGACTCTTTTAGCGAATTCTCAACTCCTCATGGTCAACGGGTTTGACTATGATATAAAAATAAAGTGTAGATGCCACCATTCACCCCTTCAAGTACATTGTTTTGTTTTGTACCACCATTCTGCAACTTCTTAACCATCTTTAACCAAAATTATATATAAAAACAAATCTTGACAACATAGTTGACGCATACAGCTTTATGTCAGAAGAGAATAATGTTATATCGTAGACTTGCCTTATACTTGAAATTTGACATTGTACAAGTAATTTCAAATGCAGAAAGCAATCTCTCTCTCTCTCTCTATATATATATATGTATATGACATATATATAGAATATAGATGTACATATATTCACAAAAAGTCCGTGGGGGTCAAACCAAACAGGGTTCATGCAATGATGCCCAATGAACCAAACATAACACTTTGTCATTGTCAAAGTATGTTGTCGTGTTTTATTACTCTCTACATGTTGAACCTCTTGTTCTCGGTGGTCTTAGATGGATCATATGCATGTGAACGCTGAAAACCTTGACTCACAATGGACCCCATTTTTATAAAATCACGCACCCAACCACTTCTTCTCCTCCTTTTTTTTTAACAATAAAAAAAAACCATTTCTCTTACACTATTTTCTGAATAATTTCATGTATATGAACAATAGATACCCATTTTGGTTGTGTGGATGTGATTTTGTGGCTCTTGTTGAAATTCCAATGTTCGAATGATTCGTTAATTAGCCCCATTAATAGACAAGTGTAATCAAATCTCGTCGATCGATTTAAGAAATGCTAGTAGTTACCACGAAGGAGATTGTTATCTCGATTCGCAGGAAGTTCGCTACCTTTAAAGACGATTGGAGATTCTGAAGACTCGTTACTATCTATGGTTCCGTTATTTTGAAATACTCTGATTTAATTGACTTGTTGTTTACTTTATCCAGTTGTAACATCTTGTTACTTCTATTTTCTGTATGGTTCATTCGTTAGTGGTAGTCACGATTATAATTATATTTTATATATATGAAATTTACAGTTAACAAAAAAATGTTAGTAGTTACCACCATTGATAGACTAGCTATTGTTATCTACAAGACTCCAACGCAACATGAAATTTAAATTATAATATATTATTCTTGAAAAGTTTAGCCTTGTACAACCCAAGAGATAATAACTTATCAACGAATCTAAAATATGTTACAATAATATAATATAATGATGGAACGTATATGTATACATGAGGAGGTATAAGATATAGAATTGAATGTGATTGCAATACCAAACATAAAGAGTCTCTTGCAAGAACATTAAACACACATGTCGGAGATGATGTGTGTCTGTGGGTCCGTCTTAACAAACAGAAGCATTCAGTCTATATTCTCTACAATAATATACATTACAAATTGAATGTAGTATAGCTCCACATGTAACCCAACACTTCGACCACGTCCCTATATATATATATATATATATATATATATATATATATATATATGTGTGTGTGTGTGTGTGTGTATA